TTAAAATACTGATTACAGCCTGATCTGACGAATGGGAACTGCCCCAATAAACATAATGGTATGCGACGGCATTCACAGTTGTGTCGTTCTGAACTTGTGGAAGACCAAAATTTCGGGCAGTATTTACATGCAGAAAAAATCCGTCGTTCCAGCCATGGAGTACTGCTTGACAGTATTTCAGGAAAGCGATGTCCCCACCAGGCCGTTCTGAAAGACTTAGCAACTGTGTGACTACGTGTCAAACAGTAATGTTCAGCTTGGTTCCGTCGTCTTTATTGAAAGGTTTAAATAGAAACGTTTTAATGGACATGAGGCCGGCTGACTCTTCTTTTTGGATCTGCTTCACGAATTAGTAGTTTTTCCTTATTTTCGATGCCACTTTATGACCTACATTGTGAGCATTTGTGAGAATAATTGTATATGTGAAAATTTTCTAAAAGGCGGTGGTCAGAAACCTGTTCTGAAACAGACAACTGTTTACCTTGATGCTGTACATTTTACCAATGGTTCTTTGCCTGGTTATCGCTAATATAATCTAGCGAAAATGAGAAACCCGTTTTGTTGGGGTTGACAGAAGTTTAATTGAAGCTGATCTGCTCACACGAAAGATCATCGCTGTGATTGCGCGCGTGTCCTGTGCATGTTTTACCAACCTCATCAGATTTCACGCCATAGAAGCAGCAACCTAGTGGCTTTCAAGATCCTACGTTCCTAATTTAATAGCCCTTCGAGCTTGCAGAATTATGCAAGATATGGACTTAAAAGTGAACATGATAATAAGAGTCAACTTGATGCGGCTACTTGTTGCGGCTGTGTGTTGGCGCGTCGTTATGTTGGCGTGTTGGCGTGTAACTTACTTCGAACAGAACTACGTCAACTGAGGATACCGATACCGTATGATGCACTGTGCCAAGTTTGGTCGAGTTTGTAGATTGAATAAAAAATCAGTAAAGGAGGAAAAGAATGGAAACAAAGAAACAAAAATTTCTCTCTGACGAAGTAAAATAAATTACTTGAATGAATATCAGATATAAGCAAGAATAGAACATTAACTAACCCCTTCTGCAACCATATACCTTCTCATGCAAGTTAGGAACTTCATAACAAGTTTGCCCTTTCCCACAGGCTATTCGCCCTCTAGAGATATAAGACTTCAAAAAATTGATTAAATCGAACAGCAATGAGCATTCAGGCATTTTGAGACATATCTGAGGTTCTAGTCATAGATTTAACGCAGCTGATGTTTGTTCTATCGTTGAACAACCAAATTAATTTAATAACTTTTGCATGATTTAAAGTTATTCATTTTGGACCCGTTGTTGGAATTGTAGCTAATGCGCTGATCAACTGCTGGCGACACAAAATAAATCTCAGTCGATCACATGGATTTGTCGGATGTCTTCAACCATATTCTATACAGAAGTTCTTCATGTCTCTAGTAAACGAAAGAGTATGCAATATATGTATTGGTTCGTTTGATATATCTAAAGTACGGAGCTTAGTACATTGTTTATAATTTTCTGGTCGTTTATTTAATTTTACAATATATAATATCCTTGTTTCGATTTGGGCGGCACGATGCAAAGTGGTCAAAAAGAATTGATTGGAAAGAGAATTTGTCGTAACCACTAATTACCTTGAGACAGGCATTTACCTCATGTTCCTTCAGCGCATCCAGCCGAGAAACGGGTAGTGTCGTTGACTTGCGAACATCACAGTCAACATGGTGTTCTGGTAAGGTACTGCTATGCTTTCTCATACGAGCGCCTCATAGGACTTTATTTCGCCTTACTTTACTCGATAGCTGCTTAATCAATGTGATAGCCAGATGAACGTGTATTGTTATTGTTATTGGTATAATTTAATATTATGTTTCGCACTGAACCGTTTGTCATGCAGTACCGTTTCTTGTTTCCAGTCCGTCCGTTTGCCATGATGATAGCCAACATAGGTTGGTTGTTTGAAGTGTTGGCTCTGCATAGAGACTCTTGAGTAAATGCTGTTGTAACTATTGTATCAGAATTATATCTTTCCAAAAACTTCCGATTTCAGAGTGACTGTAAATCACTTTGTCATCACTATCATCAGTATCAATTTCAGATGTTAATGTAATTCATATCACAGTAATTATCTGACCATCGCATAAGTTTCGCAGTAGTTTAAGTCTGCCTTCATTTCAGGTTGACGATAAGGCAACCCTTAACCGCATTTGTCTGCTCGGCTGTGGGATCCCCACTGGCTACGGCGCTGTGATGAATGCTGCGAAAGTGAGTAAGATTTTTTAAAGCTGTATAATAGAGTATTTCGTCTATGTGTTCTATGTGTTCTTTGTCATACTGGAAACAGTAAAACGGTTTTTATAAGCAGTGCAAATAATTTGTTCAGTCGGGTAATTAACCAGTGTTGACATATAGATCCGTCCTTCGACAGCTTCAACCCTGAGAAGGGTTGCGAACTCTGCTCCAATTGGACCAGCTTTTTGCATAAAACTGCTTAATCGGCAGCATAGACCGAAGGCTCGCCTTCCGGCCCAAACGTATATGAGCCGCTGCAAACGACAAGAAGAGCTTCTTTGAAGATATCCACCTCTTTACCTTAAAGAAATCCCTGGAACAGGGGCCAAAACGTTGATATCGGTGAATCATCTGATTGATCAAATGGTTTTCGTTGTGTATAAATATACCCTATTTCATGCTATTTTCAGTAATCTCTATTACGAAGATATCCCAGGCCCGGTTTACCTTACGCAGGGTCTGACTTATTTTCGAAAGATAATGGAAGACAAAACTGTAACAATCATCATGGCACATGTTTGCTTAAAAAAATCTATTACAGCTGTATTTAAATACTCTTTGATGTTACTGCACGAATTCTTTTATTGATGAATTTAGCTTAACAGTAGAAACGAAATGGAACCTTTAGAGTTTTAAAGAGTAATTTCCGCTTCCAAATGGATATATTTTGCTGAACAGGATAATTTGTTTGCTAATCAGTTAGGAATTAAATCGTAGTTAGATTTCAACATCTGTTGATTCATGGTTAAACTCCATCAGTTTTATGTAGAAAGAATAGTTAATTTGTTGGGAGTGTCTCCTAGTGCTGGCGATAACACTGAAATACAAGCGAATAATCCTTGAACTATGAAATTATTGTATATTTCAAATACTAATGTCTGATTTACAGCATGAAAACGTGCCTATAAAGTAAATGTTTTATGTACTCTAAACCGATATTGCGTTAGTGTAAGGTGGATTTAGGTAGTTATAATGGGTTAACCGCTCAGTTGCACTGCCCGCTCGCTTTCAGTCGTCTAAGGGGGACCATCTAATCCAGTCACTTATCCATGGTATCCATGGTAATTTCTTCTGTTCTACACTACCACAGCATCAGTGTGAAGTAAATAAATGTTTT